TTGGAAAATTAAGAAGTTGAGAGAATTGGAGGAAAAAAAAGAAACTTGAATTTAGGGTATCACCCAAAATTCAATTATGTTTTTAATCATGATTTGGATGAAACATGTTAACCGAACATATTTTTAAAATACAACTCAAAATTACTTTCAAAACTACTCTATTCTCTTTTATTATTATTATTCAATTAATCAATCATTTTTTCTCTCTCATCTCTCCTCTCACATTCTATATATCAATCAATCAAAAAAAATTACAAATCATTCCAAAACTATTTTCAAAATTCATAACTAAACAAATTTCTCTTTTCAAATCATGATTCAAAAATTCAAAAATTCAAAATACAACTCCACACTCAAATCATAATTCTAAAATCAGACCAAACGAACCTTCTTAGTAAAAATTATGTTTGTTCCCGATCGACAGGGACTAAACAACAGTTTAAACCAAACAATTAAACAAGGATAACTAGGCAACTATGTAATTGATTCAAATGTTTCAAAAGAATGAAAACTTTTTTGGAACAACTGGAAGTTACAAAGTAAACAAAGCAAACAACAAGTAATTTCAAGATGAAACTACTAAAGTTCCAATGATTACAAGGATACGAATTATAGATAGAAACTACTCCTAAACTAAGAAAGCTACTCCTCGATTATGCTAAGTCTAAACTAGTTTCTTTGATGTTGTTGTTGTTGTTGTTATTGTTGTTTATTCCTCTTTGGCACCTTCTGCTTTTATACCTCCCCATTTTTCTCTGGCCCATGATTGCATGATTCCCCTAAATCCTACAACTACTACTGCACAATTGCTGCAACTGCTCTCTCACTTCCCAACCCTCAAACTTCGCCAATTCTTCCTTTCTATCTATCCAACCACCTCTCCTTTACGTTGCCACGTGTCCCTCAGTCCTTTGGGCCTTCCATTGACAAAGAAAAACTTCCATTCTGCATATGACTTTTCTTGCAAGTTGCCCACTAAGCCCATGACCTAGTTCGATAACAGCTTCATCATTTGGATTTAGCCTGATAATTGCTCCATCATCTGAACCATCCAATGCATGTGATCAACCTTGAAAAATTAAAAAAACCCCTATATATTGATTTGTGATTATGTATCAATTTTAACCAGTAAATAGCAATCCCAATCAAACAATCAAAGACAAATCGACACAACGATTTTACGTGGGAAAACCACAATTGGAGCGCCTCCAATTTTGATAAAAAATCACGGGCAAAAACCACAAAAAAATTCACTAAGAAGATATAAAGGAAATACACAAGTGTACTATCAATTACCTAGCGAATCCACGCTCGAATCGAATCGACCCCTATGTGCCTCTTCCAGCCGCCCCGTCTTCACCTCGGAATTGTCTTGCCCAACGTTGAATCCACAATGCTACGACGATGAACCACTCAGAAATTCACCAAAGCTTCAGCCCCAAATCCCTTAGAATCTACTGAAGAACAACTCTTTTTTTTTGAATAAAACAAAATAAACAAACCCTTTGATATAATCTACTCAATTCATGATATAAACTCTCACAGATATCAAAGCAAACAAACAAAGAAGCTCTAGATGAAAACCCTCATACCCAAGAAGAAGATCTGGAAGACGCACACTAATACCTGACTAAACCGCAAATTTTATAGCAAACAGATCCGCGATCTCCGCTCGAGCGTAGGATTGGCTGCTCAAGCAGACTAACTAAAACTCATGTTTCAAAACAAGGGTCTATGCTCGAGCGCAGGAAAGGCCGATCAAGCAAAAAAAAAACTCCCAATACTTTTGTAGGCGAGTGAAACTTTTAAAAGGTCGCGATCTCCGCTCGAGCGTAGGAAAGGCCACTCGAGCGGAAAAACAACTTCAACTGCAATTTTGTTTTTCCCTGACATAGTTAGTGAAATGGAAAACATGAAAGAATAAACATCACAAACTTCTTTGCAAGGCATAATTCGGGTTGGATTCGTATCTAAAACTCATAGTCTCAGTGAAATAAAAAGATTGAATAAAATTACAACTGAAAGGAGTTTTGTCAAACGGGATTGCCAAGAATAAAAACCTAACAAACCTCTCTAATGCCACCCGCCCCTTAACTATTGAAAGACTTCATTTTGACTTCACTGCCACATGTCATCATTCGATTAATCCACCTGTCGATAGGAATTTTAAGAAAATAGGTGCAAACAATGCTCCCCAACTCTTTAAGAATGAGAAGTCTCGAATTCTTGAAGAATTGTACATAAAATTGATTTGTCAAAAAACCATAACCAAAATAAATCTTTTTTACCAACCAACAAAAAATGATTCTTATAAGCACATGTTAATAAGATAGCCACCAAAGGCCATAATAAATATGTTGTGCATCCTTTACAAATGTAGTCCAATGTAGGCCATGTATGACTTGTTAAATTGGTAACAGATTACTTCAATTGACTGTGTATTTACACAATCGACAAAGCAATGCATGAACCAAGTGTTTTAAACCATAGAAATACTTCAGCAAGAATTGACCTATTATATAGTTGGAATACAATAACCTTCCAATGTTGACAGACACTCTAAACCATAAAACAAATATTTGGGACATCAGATTTTTTTTATTGGTACTTCGAAATGGCAAATCAAGAAATTTCAATTGGTGATATATTTCTATAACTTTATGAACTTTGTTCTCTTGTTAGCCATTTCATAAAGAACAAACTTTAATGTGATCCCCAAATCCAAAAAAGACTTTGAATAATAAAAGCCATAGCATAAGGTGGCCTTAAAAACTCATACTTCACATCTTGAACAATATTAAAGATTTCAAACTCATGAACATTTGATGGTTCATAATTTTCAGCCATAGTTGGCTTAAGATCACACTTTTTAACCAAATTGTTTGTATGACTCTTTGGACTAAGAGTTGCAACAAAGGGCTGAGTTTTTTTTTCACACATCAATGGGTTAGAAATATTTTTTGAAAACCCAGAAAATATTTCCTCCTTGTGAAATTGCCCCCTTGCCATGGAATTTTGATTCTCATGGCCTTCTATTTTTGTAACCATAACAATTGATGGAGTAACAACACCAACATTTGAAGGTGTCTTGTGGACCTCCACCCTTGTCTGACACTGCCCTTTAGAAAAATCATCAATAGCACTTCTTAACTCACCAACCAGCACTTGTTTTTCCTCAATTGAAAGCGATGCAAGAGCCATCTTCAATTGTGAAACCAAAATGCTAACTGGAAGTATAGAAGGGCCATTCATTTGGCTTTGATGCCTTGTCTTTTCCATTGTTCCAGATTAGGATATTGTCCCACTAGGCGTGCCAAAAATTGTTAGTAAAAATTATTTTTGTTCCCAATCGACTGGGATTAAACAACAATTTAAACCAAACAATTCAACAAGGATAACCAGACAACTGTGTAATTGATTCAAATGCCTCAAAAGAATGTGGACTTCTTTGGAATAGCTGGAAGTTACAAACTAAACAAAGCAAACAACAAGTAATTCTAAGATGAAGCTACTAAAGTTCCAATGTTTACAAGGATACGAATTACAGATAAAAACTACTCCTAAACTAAGGAAGCTACTCCTAGATTATGCTAAGTATAAACTAGTTTCTTTGTGTTGTTGTTGTTGTTGTTATCTGTTCCCCTTTGGCACCTTCTGCTTTTATACCTTCCCATTTTTCTCTAACCCTTGATTGCATGATTTCCCTAAATCCTGCAATTGTTACTGCACAACTGCTGCAATTGCTCTCTCACTTCCCAACCCTCAAGCTTTGCCAATTCTTCCTTTTTATCTGTTGAACCACCTCTCCTTCATGTTGCCACAAGTCCTTCAGTCCTTTGGACTTTCCATCGACAGAGAAAAACTTCCATTCTGCACATGACTCTTCTTGCAAGTTGTCCACTAAGCCCATGACCTAGCTTGATAACTGCTTAATCATCTGGACCTAGCCCGACAACTGCTTCATCATCTGAACGATCCAATGCATGTGATCAACCTTTCTAATGCCACCTGCCCTTGACTGCTGAAAGATTTCATTTTGATTTCACTGCCACGTGTCATCATCCGATAATCCACCCGTCGATAGAAATTTCATGAAAATGGGTGCAAACAGACCCTTAAAAATTGAGGCGTTAATTCCAACTTTAACGATAACATAAATAATAGTATAGATAGATAGATAGATAGATAGAAGAAGATATAAAAGATAAAATGAATAAATAAGATTATTGAAATTGGATTTATAATGACCCCCACCAACCCAGCTGAAAGAAGCTATATTATATTATTATGATTCATTAGGTGATTATTTTAGTATTTTTAATAAATAAAAAAAAACAAATAAACACAAAGTACAAAAGTCGTTTGTGTGGCAACAAAATGGAGTCCAAGTGACATCAATTATTTGACTTAAACCGAACTTGGATGCATCCTATTCACAATCGATACCGTGTCCAATGTATTTGTAACATTGACTACATTCATTCATACCGTGTCCAATGTATTACATTGACCATTTGGGTATATTCTTTCTAGGAAAATTATTATCTAATTTCGGTATATCATGTTACATTTTTTTCACGTAATACTTGATGTGCTTAGTTTATAAATTTTTCTTTTAAAGAAAAGAAGAAGATAAAAGATGGGTGAAATGTGACAATTATGTGACATTTTCTATTTAATTTTGAACATAAGTTAGCATTAAGAGTAAATTGAAAAAAATTTAAAGCATGAAAGGTTAAAAAATTTCAAGAACCAAATTAAAAAATGACTGAACATAAAAAGGATAAAGTGTAATTTACCAAGAAAGTATTTATGAAATTATATTAAGAATTCTATTTTCAAATTTCTTTATCTTGCTACTTCGAAACACTCACCACTATTCTAAATCATTGAAAATTTCGAAGTGCGATAATTTCAAGACAAAATTTAATGAATGTCATTATCTTGAAATAACGAAACATAAGATTTAAAGACAATGAAATTAAGCAATGCCATCCAATTCTAACCCCATTCAAGACTTGCAAACAGGTCCCGGTCATCCAGAAAATTCTTAATAGAATTATAAGCTAGAAAATCTTGTTTGATAGTTAAAGTCACTTTCTTGATGATTAAAAAAAGAAAGGGGAACAATTAAGGTTCATAGCAATCATTTAGCAAACAAAGATGAAGTATAAGCGAGATGAATTGAGTGAAGAACAGATTGCTGAGTTTCAGGAAGCTTTTTGCTTGCTTGACAAAGATGGAGATGGTAAGCATATGTTTCTATTTATTTTTCTCTCTCCTTTTTGGTTCACACAAATATATATATATATATATATATTTTGGAAATAAACACATGGCGGGCAGGATTTGGGTGTCTCTTGTGCTTTTTAGTGGGGTTCAATCTAGATATATTAAGATTATTTGAATCGTTCATCTTGTATAATATGTTGAATAGATTGGTTATGCAAAAAAGAACAAAAAGATTAGATATCAATAGCCACATAATCGGATCATATTTGGCCACTGGTAACTGATTAACTGAATTTTTTTTGTATGGAAAACGATTATATAAAATGAACGGTTCGGATTAGCAAATCCAAAGTGAGCTCACAAAAGTGCATAACATTAAATGATAGTTAAAGTCACTTTCTTGATGATTAAAAAAAGAAAGGGGAACAATTAAGGTTCATAGCAATCATTTAGCAAACAAAGATGAAGTATAAGCGAGATGAATTGAGTGAAGAACAGATTGCTGAGTTTCAGGAAGCTTTTTGCTTGCTTGACAAAGATGGAGATGGTAAGCATATGTTTCTATTTATTTTTCTCTCTCCTTTTTGGTTCACACAAATATATATATATATATATATATATTGGAAATAAACACATGGCGGGCTGGATTTGGGTGTCTTCTCTGCTTTTTAGTGGGGTTCAATCTAGATATATTAAGATTATTTGAATCGTTCATCTTGTATAATATGTTGAATAGATTGGTTGCAAAAAAAAAAAGAAAAAGATTAGATATCAATAGCCACATAATCGGATCATATTTGGCCACCGGTAACTGATTAACCGAATTTTTTTTGTATGGAAAACGATTATATAAAATGAACGGTTCGGATTAGCAAATCTAAAGTGAGCTCACAAAAGTGCATAACATTGAAGTAGAATAGACACCCCAAATCCTGATATGCTTAACTTTCAATTATGATTTTCAATAATGATATCGGGATATGTACTAATATCGATGATATCATGTGCATAGGTTGCATCACCATTGAAGAATTGGCCACAGCAATCAAATCAATCGATCAAATTCCCACAGAAGAAGAATTGCAGAGCATGATCAGTGAAGTTGATGTCAATGGTAATGGAACTATTGAATTTGGGGAGTTTTTGCATCTCATGGCCACAAAGATGAAGGTGTAACATCATCTACCTTTTTCTTCTTCTTCTTCTTCTTCTTCTTTCAGTTGTCATGTTCTCAGTTATGTTATTTTACTGGGTAAAATATATTTTCTAGGCTCTAATTTTTATTTAAATTTCACTTTGGTATTCATCTTGTAACTATTAAGTTATCAAATTTTACTCTGTATTTAAGAATTTGGACAGAAAGTGCGCACGTAAGAGCCACCTGAGCATGTTTTAGCAGCATCAGAGAAAAGTATTACCAAAAAAATTACACTAGTCACCTTTCAATTTTCAATTAAATTTTACTTTGATCACTCATATTTTAACTCACTCAAATTTTGACCTATGGGGCGATGAGAGGATTAGATTAAAACTTGGCTTCAAGTCTGAGAACTTAGTTATTACAAATTTACAATTAAAAAGTGAAAAATTAGAATGAAATTCAAGTAAAATTCAGAGGGTAAAAGTTGTAATTTATGCTATTTTACGTGTAGAACTTTTCGTAAGAATGTCTAAGGATAAATTATATTAATCTCTCTTAATGTTTGAAGAAAATATATTAAGGCCATGTTTGTTTGGGCAGACTGGATTAGTATTCCCATAACTAATAGTCATAGGATTACGAATCCGTTGGATTATGTATCCTATCTTAACTAATAGTCAAGTTTAAAATAATTAGTCTGTACTTTAATTGTTTAATCAAACATCGGATTAATAATTTTATTGGACTATTAGTCCAATCCCAAGCTCATGTCCACCCAAACAAACATGACCTAAGTGTCATAAGTTTGACATAAATTTACATAATACTTAGTCCATTTTTTCATTTATTAGTCATATAAATAGAAAAATGATATTGTCATCTCTTTTACATTGAAATGTATATATATATTCTACCCAATTTTTTTGATCAGCTATTGTACCCAAATTTATTCATGTATTTACATATTATGTACATTAGTTTTAATTATTTTAATCTTTTACTCAGTATTCAGTATAATGTGCCCAAATGTCTGATTGTGATTGTTTATATTTATAGGAAAGTGAAGCAGAAGAGGAACTAAAAGAGGCCTTTAAAGTATTTGACAAGGATCAAGATGGCTACATATCACCTAATGAGGTTAATTCTTCTTCATATTTCTTTTACAAAAATATTACTGGCACATAAGATAATAAATTTTAGCATAAGACCACTTGCACCTTTATATTTTTAAAATTATTTTGAACTCTTTTCACATACTTGCGAAGTTATTTCAAATTTTATCTACTTTGTATTTTCTTATCAATTATTATGTTTTTTTTCCATTTTGTTGGCAGTTGAGAAATGTAATGCTTAACTTAGGAGAGAGGCTGACTGATGAAGAGGTGGAGCAGATGGTTAGAGATGCTGATTTGGATGGTGATGGTCTAATTGATTACAAGGAATTTGTTAGAATGATGTTGGCTGCATGACAAATTCGCCTTTTAAAGATGTGTAAAAAAAAAAAAGTAAAGCACAAAAAAAATAAAAAAATTGCTACTTATCATTTTTTTTTTTTTTACTGTTTTATATCACCGAATTTTAGAGCAAAATATTATTTTACGTCATGCCTTTAACGAAATAATTGGCCCAAAATTCACAGGGATTCATTGTGAAGCAGTGAATTCTAATTTCCATCACGTTTCCAATCAACTAATTGGCCCAAAATTCACAGGGATTCATTGTGAAGCAGTGAATTCTAATTTCCATCACGTTTCCAATCAACCACCAAAATATAGATTGATAATTCTGGAGAAAAAGTCCAAGTAAATTTATTTATTTATTTATTTATTTTCACTGTGTTACACAGGTTTCTAATAAAAAAAATAAGAGAAGCCATCTTACTTAATGGCCTTTCCTCTCCATTCTTTTCCTTCGTATGGGTCAGTTGCCTCGCCATGATTAAAACCCTAAATGTCAATTAGACAAGCCACCTAAAAATATTTTTGCAGGTGCAACGGAGGGTTAAACGGTTCTAACTAAAGTCGATATTTTCAAAAGATTATAGACATTTTTGTTTTGTTGTCTAGCACAGACACTCTATGAGTTATTTTAAATGTATTTTTTTTATGTTAGATCGATTTAATCTCCAACGTGAATGGAATTTAAGTTATTGGCTTTTTAGTTAATAAATTTCAATTACAACAAACCAAAAAATTATTAGTGTATTTGTTAAGTTTTATTTCATCATATGATTAAGTCATATTGTTTTATAAATAGATATGTTTAGATGTTTCTTTCTTGGTAAATCTCATCATGTTTATATTGTATCCTCGCCTAGTTACTACATGTGCAGATGTTGCCTAACAATATCAATAGTGGGATGTGTTTGTACAATTATGAAGAACATATTTCATGGAATTTAGAATGGGTTGATTGACGAAGTGGAAATCTTTAGACAATGTAGATGGATTTTTGATATTATACGTCATCATTTTTATGTGCAATTTTGTAAATTTGTGATTCGATTGGTATATATATTATACGACAATTCTACGTAACTCAAATTTTGTGGCTCAAAAGTGGCTCAAAATGGCCAAAACGACGTCGTTTTGAGTACAGAACAACATCGTTTTGGCCATTTGAGCCACTTTTGAGCCACAAAATTTGAGCTACGAGACATTTTCCTATATTATATTATATGAATAATCCAAGTATTTCTAGATTCAAATATAGGCAGTAATTCACAATTAGAATAAAAAATTGTTGCCAAATGTATTCCATATTTTTATTAATGATATCTTCGCTAGAGCAACGATGATTGTTATGACTTTACATGGTGGAGTTTGCAATAATCTAATCTTAAAATCTCAATTCTGACATTAAACAAGATAGATTTTTGTAAAGATTAAAAATTGAGGTTGTTAATGAACGATTTGTTCTTAATGGAGTTTTTTTGTTTTTTTGGTTGGTTTTTTGTAAGTTATTTTTGAATGGAGAATTAACATTTCAAAATTAATTTATTGGACTAATCAGGCAAGTAAACGCCAACAATTTGCAAATCAGTTTATATGCCACGTGCAATGTACATTTTCACTAGTAAACTACAAAGGATTGTTGGTGAGGGGGGGAATGATGAAAGAAGAAAACTTCATCTTGTAAAATGGAGCTCCATCACTACAGTATGAGAACAATTCAGAAGAATTCCCTATGACTAAACAAACACCATGGAGGCAAGTGGTAATTCAGAAGAATTATCTTATTTTTAATCAGCAACAAATCTGCTGGGAAAAACTTATTGGTGGTGTGAAGCTTCAAGTGGCCTTTTGGACAAAGACAAATTCAGGATTCTCTTGCTTGTCCACCACTGACTTCATGCTCTATATTTATGAGGTTAGGAAAATGAAATCTAAGAGTTGAATAATATAGCTTCCTGTTGTGATTTCCCAAGGATTTTTGTTTGATGACAATGTTGTTATTAGTGTCTTAGTTAGCTTCTTGCTTTCTATCCTTGTTCTTGTTATAGGGCTGCATATGATTTTCAGAAGAGATCTATTTTTTTTTTATCAGCGAAAACAGAACCTTTATTGATGCAAAAACCATACAATAAAAGAGATTACATCAAAAAAGGAGGGAGAGAGCAGCAAGCTAGCTCACCCCAGGAGTTTGGTGAGGAACAAAACCCAAGAAGAAGAAAAACAAAAAAGAGATCAACAAAAGTAATCCAATGCAACAGCAGAACAGATCAGACCAATAGCAGACCAACCTCATACCAACAACAGAACAGATCATCTACCAATGCAAAGCACACCGACCCAAAATAACAGCCCACTTCTAGGCCTAGTAACAGCATAGATATAGGGATCCTTCAGAGTGTTTAGATTGTAGCATACACCATTTTGGAGGATTGCACCACAGTCATACTCAATCCATCTTTACAAACACAAACAGGCCTCCACACAGCTCCTGGCTCAAAACCAGAACAAACCTTGCTAGTGACCTTGGTAAAGTAATAAGACAATAGCAACCAAACAGACCTTCACTGCAGCCAAATAAGAACCAGTGCAAAGCAACCAAATTGGACCCACAGACCTTCCCAGCATCAACCTTTGCATAGCAACCAAATAGCAGACCCAACACCTATTGTAACGCCCTCAAAATAACAACATTAAACCCATCCATATAGAGACATGCATTGATACATAAAAGTCCACATTCATCTATTCATCAGGGTATTTCATTACAAAAGTATTACATGGTTACAACAGAAGCAAATGCCTTACAGGCTTACAGCTTTCCAAGTTAACACTTGGTTACAAAAGAGGGTGTTAGCTTAAATACACATTAAGTCCTAGGCTCAAATCTATATGAAATACAATCAAGAAAGAATAAGGCAACAAAAGTATGTTTGCCTCTAGCCTCCCAAGCTATGTCCTCAGAGGTGGCATGCTACCTGTACCTGAAAATGATGTTCCCATATAGGGTGAGCCATAGCCCAGTAGAAATACACTAAACCAACTATGAACAATGACTAAGAGATTAGTAACTAATAGATGGTCGACACTGACACATCCATTTACATCTTATTACAATTCCATGACGATTAAGTCTAGGTTACAATTCACCTTCCATTTCTTATTCAAATTTGGGTTTGAAAACAAGGTTCAATACTCTGGCCAAAACATTTGATGAGATTATAGTTCATCACTAGAACATTTTCGAAATTTAAGGTGGATACACATTTTGGTGTTGTATCAATAACACATAAACTACTTCCATACTTCACAAACGATGATGATATACATTTTAGTGCTATATCAAATCAAACAAACTTTTCAATAGATAAGCATATGAGCCATATCAATACTACAACATATAAGCATATGAGCTGTATCAACACTTCAATAGATAAGCATATGAGCTGTATCAATACTTTAACAAATAAGCATATGAGCTATATTCAATACTACAACAGATAAGCATATGAGCTGTATCAACACTCCAATAGATAAGCATATGAGCTGTATCAACACTTCAATGGGTGAGCATATAAGCTGCATCCCTGGGTCCATCCCCCATCTTCCCTTAACCATTAACCGGTTTAGAGGTACATCCCCCATCTTCCCCTAAACCATTAACCAGTTTAGAGGTACATTCCCCATCTTCCTCTAAACCATGGAGTACATCCCCCATCTCCTCCCATACACAAGTAATGCATATAAACAAAGAATCACATATGCAATCAATCAATACATAAAGTTAATGTATTCTATCAACTGTCTACACATAATGCATATAAACACATTGGTCACATGCACAATCCACAGATACATAAAGTTAATGTATTCTATCAACCGTTATACTCTATGACACATCCAATTGATTAGTTTTAGTTTGCCTAATCATCATGCATTGTCTACAACAATCAACACTACCCTCTACCGGTAGCCCAAAGCAATTATTTCTAAGCAGGAAATAAATGCACAAGTGGATAATATACCAACATTTCAACTAGATGAGCAATAAAAGATTTGACTACACTCTTAAGTCTCATACATTCCCGATTTCAACATTCTCAATTCAATTCCTCGTTTTCTTCAATTAATTAAGTGCATTAATTAATTAAACCGATTAGGGCAAATTACCATAATTCACAAAACAACCCTGAGGTTCCATTTCCATCAATGTCCCAACATTAATCTCATTTCTCTATGCCTAACATGCATATAGGTTTATATATATCTAAAACCCCAACTTTTGTAAAATGTCACAAAGGCCCAAACTTCTTCAAAATTACCCAACAACCCCCAACATATCAAAATGCTAAAATTCAAAGACAAAGCTCATAAGATGGAGTAGGTTATCCCTACCTCAAATAATGGGACCCAATGAAGGAGGTGAAGAAACGGAAATGCTCCAAATCCCGAAATTTTCAGATTAAAAGATAGCCCTCGACGATCAACACAACTTTTGTAAAGGCCCAAGGTGAGAAAACAACTCCTACTAGATCAATCCTAAGAGAGAAGTTAGGGTTTTAGTGTGAGGAACTCTCAAAATAGCTTTTTAGAAAAGTAAGAGAGAGAAAGGATGTTGAAAAGTGAACAAAAAGGTCGGATCTCGGCTTTATATAAAAGTCGCCCCGCTCGAGCGGCAAAATCCCCGCTCGAGCGTCACTCACAGATCCCCGCTCGAGCGTCCAATCTCACGCTCGAGCGGCGGATGCATGCTCCTAGAACTTTTACAGACAAGGTTCCCGCTCGAGCGTCAAACTCCCGCTTGAGTGCCAGACACAAACTCCCGCTCGAGCGGCCAATCCTCCGCTCGAGCGTCTACCGCTGCAGACGAAATACTGGATGGGTGATTTCCCCGCTCGAGCGTCAAAAGCGCCGCTCGAGCTGAGAGACCAAAAACTGGGCAAAGGTTTTACGTTTTAAAACATAACCAACTTATTCCCAACTTGCCCAACACAACTCAAAGCTCGAACACACAGAGAAAGGGATAGAAAGAGGATAAGACAACAGCACCCTTGCGAAACCGAATCCGGATTACAGTTAA